TGCGCCATTTGCGCCATTGACAAGGTTCTGCAACTGCGTAAGCAACAACTGCAAACCTTTCTGGCGCGAATAAACCAACGGCACTGAAAAAGCAAAACAAATTTGAGTATAAGAATTAGCAGAAAGGACAATAGTAGTGAAACAGCGATTATATCAATTTGGGGTAGTGATAAAATCACCAAAAAGCGCCTCAACTTCAAAAGTTCCACGCGAAAGAAGCGCCTACCAGAAATAACAGAAAAAAGTTGGTATAAGAAGAAAGAAGCAAAAAATAAGTGAAACAACGATTATATCAAATAGAGGTAGTATGAGCCGAAAAAATACCAAAGATATTAGATATAATGGGGCTAAACTCGAGTTCGGGGGGGGGGGCACGCGATGGCGCGACCCACTGTGGTCTGTGATGCGGCTCAGCTAAGCAAACCGGACACCCTTGGCCACTTGCAGCGTGTATTCACACCACTTGCTCCGCTCGCGCGCTACCGTATCCGACGCCTTTTTTCTTCAGCTATGCGGGAATTCTCGTGTTTTATCAATGAATGAATGCTGTATGGATCTTTTTTATGTCTGACCACCCTACTCTCACTTAGAATGACATTCCGTTTACCACTCTTGTTATGTGGCTCAGGAGGGTTATTCTGTAAAGAGGCTTCTAGGACTAAGCCTAGGCAGACTCTTCGCTGAAAGTACACCGGAAAAAGCTCGGGACGAGTGTCCGGGCACGATTTTCCGGTGGCGCCAAATTTGAATTTTGGGCCAACCCTGCTCACTCGTACCAAGGCCCTTTACCCCTTTAGGATCGATGACGTCGCTTCCAAAGACGTGTGGAGCCAATCTGTTCAAAGAGTGCCATCCTGAAGAGAAGTGATGAAAGCTCTTTTTGCAGAGGAGTGACTGATATTGTAGAAGGTTGTAGGGCCTGGAACGTGGTTATCTGGCGAAGAATTAACTGGATCAGTCTCAGGAAAGCGCTAGTCGGTGGATAACAATCATCAAACACTGGGTGAGGACTGTTATGAAAACTGTGTTAATGTTGTTGCTCCCGAATACAGGATTTTCACTTTTTTGCTTACAAGAGAGGATTGCGCAGGCGCAGTGGTTCGTAGTTAATCTGTATTCACGACACAGTTGGTTAGCACTTATCAACAAAGTAGAGGGTGGAGTTGGAATTCGCGGAGCCTGTCGTCCACCGAGGGACGAACGAATAACGAGCCATTCTTTACAATGTCGATTGAGACACTTTTTATGCTTAAACACGCGAAGAGCTCCAATTTTTATTGATTTAACTTTAAATTTCCAACTGAACTTCTTCAAATTTGTTTAGCTTAGGATTCTCCAGCTCCATCACAGTGAGGGTGCGAATAATGCTGGAGCATTGGTAATAATCCATCGCAGTTTTGTGGCTGTGACGAGAACATGGGCGCTTGAGCATCTTTCGTCATCAAATTATTGAGGGCTCCCATGTGGGCTGTATAATGTTTAATTTGATAGATTGGGTTGTTTAAATGATTGAATCTGCATTTTCGATTGTTTACGGTACTTCGATGGTTGTTATTTTTCTTGTTCTATGTACTTCTGTTGGTATTTTGATAACATAATGTCTCCATCCATCTCATGGTAGTTTCGAGATGTTATGTTCTGGATGCCATAACTGAAGAAGTATCAATTGAGAAAAGTAAAAACTTCACTGTGAATTGTCAACCAATCCCCTAACAAATACATGTTGAACTTGCTGAGTGGATAATATTCTGAAAATCCCATCATCATTGCTCAAGGATGACGGACCTCGAGCCCACAATGAACTGGACGAAGTTGGCCCAGAGTTCAAAATTCGCGCCACCAAATCGTCTCTGGGACCAGGCGTAGGTAGCGTGAGAGGATCTCGGAGAATTACGAGAAAGAATACTTCCGCACACCGAGTCCCTCCCTGTCTTAGAGCTCAGTCCTGAAACTGAGCGTCAAAAGTGGTTTTTTTTTACCGCGTTTTTCCTCTCAGCTTAAATTTACCGTTTCTGGATTTAGATGATCAGCGGACACTTGTCACATTGTCACATCACATGTCACCCATTCGATGACCTTCCATGAACTAAGTGACATGGACAGGCAAGATGCTGAACAGATACGCCAATCGCGAGAAGTTCTCAAAACGTCTATAGCAACCATATTCCATCTGGTTCTCTTTATGAGGATGTTCGTGACAACAGCAAATAATAAAAACAAACAAAAAGAAACAAAAACATTCGTATGCTCTTATGGAACACAACGTTCATTCGGTGCGTGCGTTTTCTCGTCTCTGATATTGTGGCCTCAAAATCCACGAAGATGAACGATGACAAAAGCGAGATTGCGAGATAGCTCAGTCTGAAAGCAGTGCATTTATTATCATTGACAGTTCTCAAATTCCTATCACGTACAATGCCTCCAATTCCTCTAGCAATCTCCTCTGCACTTACAACCCCTTCCTCCCAGCCCAGCCGGCCAAATACGACCAACACCAAACCCAACATGTATCAGTCTGTTGTATTCCGTGATGGGTTGACGGCTTGAACGTGTCTGAGCTTTGACCTTCCGATAATACGTGATGAGCCATTCGAAACATCGAAATCGCCATATTCCTCGCGATTTATCTTAGAGATCGGTGAGTTTTTCGTGAAGTTACTTACAGTCCATATCCGAGAGCTGGTGTGGGCATGTCTCCGGAAATGACTTGGCGGCAGCCGCACGTATAGATGTCGCGCGAATAAGCTGCTACCAACATGCAACACTATCAACAAAGCATGCTTATCCACTCAACTTCTATCGAATGCGGTGACAGCCACGTCACTCCCGGTGACACACCTACTCCAACTCTCCGATATGGACTGTATGTTCAGGCTCTATCGCAAACTGAGCGTTGTCCAAACGTGTACATTCCGGTCAAGTCCTGATTAAAAATTTGTTAGTACCCGGTTGAAGCTTAAAATGGGTTTGTCTCCCAAGTCACCGGTTCATTTCGCATTCCCTTTTTTTCGATTCTGCGAACTTGCCATGGAACTCGAATTGAGACCCAGATATATCGATAGAGCTTCAAATATGGAAACTAAAACTGCAAAATGAACCTGCCAAGGAAGTTGTGAGCAGTCAAAGTTGGTTGGAAGTAAAGCATTACATATGAACCGTGCTAGCTTCCGGGCTTTCAGAGTCGCAGTGGAGTAGTGGTAGTGCTCTCGCTCTCCAGCCGGGAGGTCGTGCATTCTCTTTCCGTTGGAGTGCAACTTTCGAGAGCACTACCGACTTCTCTTTCTCGGCAAGTTCATTTTGCAGTTTTAGTTTCATATTTGTAATCAGCGTTTGAAGCTCTATCGATATATCTGGGTCTCGATTCAAAGTTCCATGGGAAGCTGAATGCCTTTCCTGGTTAGTCTTTTTGAGCGCTACTGCAAGAAACGGGGGCATACTCTAGAACAGCCCAGGAGGGGGCAGGAATATTGGGGCTTAATGAAAAAATGCTCATGCGATTTGGAGCCTCTCCTTCTCCATCTATAGCTTAGTCCATTTTTTGACAGAAAGGCGATGCCTTACGCTGTTTGAAATGCACTGCCAACACAATGGCTCCGTCTCTTGCGATGGCGTCTCAAAATCATATCTGTTCTCTTTCCTTCATTTAGAAAGCTCAGCCTTACATTGTAAAGCACGCACTCTTCTGCCTGCACTCCACCACTACTTGACACCTTCAAACCATACACGTTTATTCATGTCATCGCTTTAGCGAAGCGTGGACGTGCTTACGAAATGCCCCCGTTCATTGCTATAGCGCCCTTATGTTTATAAATCAATCGCGAACTATGCACCTTCTTGGCACTAAAATCTTCCTATCTGCGGGGGTACTCCGAGGCTGCGTCCTTTCGGTGTGCTGGCACGTTGACTTCCGTTATACTTCATGAAGGCTAAGAGCAGCCGGCCACTATAGGGTACCTAGAAGCCTCCTTAGCGCCTACCACCGACCGACTCCGAGAATTATGGCGTGATGACTTGGCATCTCTAAGCTTGGCATGATGGTGAGGGCGTAATGCACAGCAAGGGAGAAACCTGATTGCGTACTAGTCGTTGGGTTCGCATACAGAGGTTCCTGGTTCTACTGAGGCTCAGTTAACATTTCATGGGTGATTATTTTAGTAGAGTATAACGGACAAGGGAGCCCTCGTTTCTTGTGTGAGTAAACCTAAACCGATAGCAGGCCTGCCTCGCGGATCACCCCTTTTTGCGACCTCGCACCTCGATCTCAGTTGGAAACTGATGATGACATGGGGAGCGAGAGCCATGTTTTAGAGAAAACGCATGGTCAAGTGGAAGGACCCACAGGATGGCGCTGGTCACAAAAGACCACAAGGGTCCCGTGGCTCCATGGAAAAGCTCACTGACGGCGCGGACGCGTTCGCGTGTTGATGACGTCACAGCGGTGGCATGAGAACAAGCAAGAAAGCTCTGCTGCCGTTATTTTAATACTTTATGTACTCCGAGCATCTCTCGTGCTCTTGTACTGTGTAATAAGTAGAAGTAAGTAACAATCAAACTTGAAATGGACTTGGTTCAAGCAAGCTCAACTAGACTGTACTCTTAAGCGTTTGCTTATGAAGAACCACGACCATCTACGTTTCCCTGCATTCGAATTTCTAGTTCGAGGATGCTACCTGTGACCCAGTGCGCAACTGGTTGAAGGAAGCTGTGTCAGAAACGCAGCAGTATTTGAGCTTCAGCCTGCTGATTTGCGTCATTGACACGCGCTCGCGTCCGCGCCGCCGATGAGTTTTTTCTCCACACAGGATCCCGTACCACCTTTTTGCGCAGTGTTGAATGATCAGGCTCTCTGCCCTAACATCCATAACCTGGTAGAACTATTGTTTTGCAGGAGGAACGTCATGCTTTCTGCATTACTATTCCTTTCATTCTTCTTATTTAAAACTAGCGAGACTGCCAATGCCGTCAAAGGAACAACAGCTTCAAATAAATATTTCATCGGTATGGAAGAATGGCAACAACATGACCTGGATCTGTGTGAGGTCCCAGGACGATTGAATGAATGTAAGTAAACATAGCCCAAACTAATGGTACCATACGAAGAAGAACCATTTTGCTGGTCTTATGAGTGCACCTATGAATGTCGGGAAGCCACATGAACCATTTTCGGGTGCCATGCATTGCCATTTTTGTGTGGCATGCGTTTGCGACTGATCGCTAGCGTATAGCGCAATTAGCTAGCGATTCCTCGCGAAGTCGCAGAGTTCCATTCATACGCTATTTTCGTGTTCTTTTGCTGCATTTTGTTTGAGAATACTGGTGTAAGGGGAAGCCGCAAATAGGGTTGCCTCATTGATCCCGTCCGAGTTTGACACCTTTGTTTATCCAAGTTTTATCCCTCTTAGGAAACACTGGTCAACAACATGAACCACCATCATAGTCACTGATATGCATGCTTTTGCCAGAAATATGTGCT